CACACCAACGGGGCCAGAGGGACAGTCGGGCGGGCGGGGCAGCGGGAGGCCGCGGGGCTGAGTGCGTTGGCCGGGATGGAGCTAGGGGGAGCCGGGAGAAAAAAGTCCAGCGCAGCCCCACGACCCGGCTCTGCCAGAGAAAAACAATCCGAATGAGCCAATCGTTGCGCAAAGGCCTCGCCAAGGCTTTAACTTCCTTAACCCCCACGCATCCCACCTTTCTTTCCTTCTCTCCCTTCCCTGTATCCCTCCCTGCCTTCTTTCTCTAAACATCTGTCTGGCTCCTCCCTGCATGAGAGAAAAGCACACACACCACGAGTTAAATAAAATGACACGTTCATTTGCACACTGTGCGGGGATGAGTCATCCTTTCACCTGGTTTTTGTGGGGTTTCTAAAAAATGATCTTTTGCCGCCGCGTTTCATTGTCGCTGGTTTCCTTGGTAAGCCAACGGATTTAATTCTATGTTTTGAAAAACTTTGGGTTGGGCGTGGTGGCTCACACCCGTCATCCCTGCACTTTGGGAGGCAGAGGCGAGAGGATTGCCTGAGCCAAAAGGGGGCAAGATCAGCCTGGGTAACTTGGCAGACCTTAGCTCTACAGTAAATCAACAAATTAGCCAGATGTGATGGCACATGCCTGTAGTTCCAGCTACTTGGAAGACTGAGGTGGCAGGATCCGCCTGAGCCCAGCAGGTCCAGGCTGCAATGGCCGTGAGCGTGTCACCGCATTCCAGCCTGGGCGACAGAGTGAGACTTGACTCAAGAAATAAGAAAAAGAAAAGAAAAACTTTGCTTTGAAACGTTTCCATGGCACAGATAGAGTTAAAGCTCCCTGGGCTGGAGAGTCCTGGAGAGGGTATTTGGTGGGGAGGTGACTGGAGAGACTCTGGAAGAAGGTGACATGGGAGCGGAAGGCCTAGGCAAGGTGAGAGAGATTGCCAGGAGAAGACAGGAGAAGGTGGGAGCAGCAAGTGCAAGGGGCCTGAGGTCGAAGCAGGCCTGGTAGGCAGAACACCAGGGAAGAGGCCTGTGTGGCTGGAGCGTAGTGAGGAGGGGAGGACAGGAGGGCATGGGGGGGATTCTGTGGGTCTTTGTGGATTGTGGTGAGATGGTGAGGACTTAGCCCATGAGGAGGTGTTTACACCCATCCAGGCAAAAGCTTTCTTTCTTTTTTTTTTTTTTTGAGTCAAAGTCTCATTCTGTCACCCGGGCTAGAGTGCAGTGACACAGTCATGGCCACCCCAGCGTCAACCTGCTGGGCTCTGGCGATCCTTCCGCCTCAGCCTTCCAAGTTGCTGGAACTACAGGTGTGCGCTACCACACCCGGCTAATTTTTTGATTTACTGTAGAGATGAGGTCTCGCCATGTTGCCCAGGTGGGTCTTGAACCCCTGGTTTCAGGCCATCCTCTCTCCTTGTTCTCCCAAAATGCTGGGATGACAGGCTTGAGCCACCGCACCCGGCACCACCCTGTGGCTCTTAAGGGGCTAAACCATCCTGGATGTTGCAGAAGATGGAATGAACTGTGTCTTTAGAGACGACCTGCTGTTTATTCTAGTGCTCAAGATCTGGTTCAAATATCAGGTCCTCCTGTTAGAGTTATGCAATGTCAGACCAGCCTCAGTTTCCCCATCTGTAGAAAGATGATAGTGATGATACCCACCTTACCGTGTGACTCTGAGGGTTCGTAACCACAGGTCCATTCAACACATCTACAATGCTTTGTTCCAAGGATACTGTTATTATGACTAATGCCACTGTTGTTGTTGTACATATCATTGCTGAGCTGGCCACCTCAGAAGTATCTGGGAAACTGCAAATCTTGGCCTCCACACCCTGGGTATCCTGACCCAGTATGTCTGTGGTGGAACCTAAGAACCTTTGGTTGTGTGTGTGTGTGTGTGTGTGTGTGTGTGTGTGTGTGTGTGTGTTAGAGTCTAGGTCTTGCTAGGTTGCCTAGGCTAGTCTCAAACTCCTGGGCTCAAGCAATCCTCTTGCCTCAGTCTCTCAAAGTCCCAAAGTGCTGGGATTACAAGTGTGAGCCACCATGCCTGGCCAGGACCTTTGGTTTTTTTGTTTTGTTTTTGAGTCAGAGTCTCACTCTGTCACCCAGGCTGGAGTGCAGTGGCATGCTCATGGCCGCTGCAACCTCGACCTGCTTGGCTTAGGTGATTCTCCCACCTCGGCCTTCCAAGTAGCTGGAATTACAGGTGCACATCACCACACCCGGCTAATTTTTTATTTCTATAGAGACAAGTTCTCACCAAATTGCCCAGGTTGGTCTCAAACCCCTGGGCTCAGGCAATCCTCTCTCCTCAGTCTCCCAAAGTGCTGGGATTACAGGCGTGAGCCACCGCGACCGGCCAAGACCTTCAGTTTTATTTAACTCAATTTAAGGAGTATTTTTGATGGCTAAAAATCCAAGCTAAAAGGGTGTAAGGGTGAAAAGAAATGTCCCTCCTGCCTCTGGTGAGGAGTTCCCGGTCCTCTCCCCAGAAGCCATTACTGTTGGTAGTGCTTGTACAAGTGACTAGAATAGGCACACACCTAGACTCTTTGGTCTGCATACACAAGGCAGACTGTTTCGGATTCAAATCCAGATTAAACCAAATCCTGGCTGTGACCTTGAGCAAATGATCCTGTTTCCTTGGCCTCCATTTCTTCAGCGGTGTAATGGGAATGATCCTCATATTATCCATCATATGTTCTCATGAGGAATTTCTGCATTCATTCATAGAAAGCATGTGGAATGGTACCTTACAGAGGAAGCACTCCATAAAACTTGCCTTTCCTTAGCAACCTTGTGCTTGTTCATAGCTGCGTGGTATTTCACCATAAGAACAGACCATAATATGAAGGCAGTCCCATAAAGCTGGGAGCGGTGGCTCACACCTGTAATCCCAGCACTTTGGGAAGCCAGCGTTGGAGGATCACTTGAGCCCAGGAATTTGAGAGCAGCCTGGGTAACATTGTGAGACTCTTGTCTCCACAAAAAATAAAAAAAATTAACCGGGCAGTGTGGTGCACCCTTGGAGTCCCAGCTACTTGGGAGGCTGAGGCAGGAGGATTGCTTGAGCCCAGGAGTTTAAGGCTGCGATGAGCAGTGACCATGCCACTGCACTCCAGCTTGAATGAAAAGTGAGACCAGGACTCAAAAAAAAAAAAAAAAAAAAAAAGGCAGTCCCTACTAATGAATACTTAGGTCCATTCATCCACTTAAAAATATGTACTGCCCACGGCCTGTGTGCCAAGCACAAGGGGACGGGTGCAAAAAGATCCTGGTACCAATTTTTCTACCCCAAAGTGTGCATGTACTGGCTGGACGCTGTGACTCAGGCTTGTAATCCCAGAACTTTGAGAGGCTGAGGTGGGAGGATTGCTTGAGTCCCGGAGTTCAAGACCAGCCTGGGCAGCAGAGCGAGATCTCGCCTTTCTTTAAAATATAAAAGCACCGGTGTATGGGTTGGAACTGCTGGTACCCACCGTCGCGGGAATTTCCAATGGTGACAAACACAGGGCCAGCGGCTCTCAGGTCTGCTCCACTCGCACAGCCACCTAAGGGGGTCGGCTGGAACCTGCACACGGGGGACGGCTGGCCTGGGACCCGCCGCCTTTCAGGAAGGAGCTGACGTGGGCCTCGGCCGCCTCGCCAGGAAGCGATGGCCCCAGCTAGGCCCGGGGCGCGGCCACACCCCTGTGGGGGAGGGTGCGTGGCCGCCCCGAAGGGAGTGGACAGCCCCCCTGTCAGTCTTCCCGAGTCGGGGAGTGTAAGATGAGACGGGGAAGGTGGGCCTCACCCTGGCGAGGGCGAGGAGGAACTTCCTGCCCGTGCGCTCGGCCGCCCGGAGCGCGCGCTGGAGTTGGTCGGCGGGAGGCGCTCGGTCAAGGTCAGCCTGACGCTGGGTGGCAGCCTGCCTGGGGGCGGGAGACCCTCCTGGGGGGCTGGGCTGAGGCCTCCGAGCGCCTCGGCCATATTGAACAGCCACGGCTGAGCAGCCTTTGTCTGCGAAGTCGTCTCCCAAGTTCCAGCCGCGTCCCTGGTGCCCGGAGCGGGAGGAACCAGGGGGCAGCCCGTGCGTCCTAGCTCGGAGCCAGGACACCACGTTTCCAGCCCGGAGTGGGCTTTGCGCCTCGGGACTGACCTCGCCCCGGCTCACGTAAGCATCCTGGGAATCGAGTCCCTCGAGCCCCCGGGGGGAGCCGGACTTGGTCAGGACTAGACTTGTGGCAGGAGAAACTGGCTCGTCCCCGGCTGGCGAGGTGAGACTCTCCGGTCAGCGTGGCCGGGGCCCCACCCCGACTCCCTCCCTCGAGGCCAGGGACTACCAGGAGTTTCTCTGGGCTCATCGCCCCCCGCCCCAGCTATCACCCTGGATATCTTAAAGACTCTGGAGAAAAGCCACGTGGGGGGCTGGTTCCCCTGGGGCTTCCTCCCGTCCCCCGACTGCCTGATCCTCTGGAGCGTCCCCGACGTCTGCAAAGATGTGGACCTGGACGTCCTCGTGGAAGCCCTGAAGCCCGTGGGGACCTTTAAGAAGATCGGCAAGGTTTTCCGCAAGGAAGAGGACTCCACCGTGGGCATGCTGCAGATTGGGGAGGACGTCGACTATCTGCTCATTCCCCGGGAGGTCAGGCTGGCCGGCGGCGTCTGGAGGGTCATCTCCAAGCCTGCCACCAAGGAAGCGGAATTCCGCGAGCGGCTGACCCAGTTTCTGGAGGAGGAGGGCCGCACCCTGGAGGACGTGGCCCACATCCTCGAGAAGAGCACCCCGCACCCGCCCCAGCCCCGCAAAAAGCCCAAGGAGCCCCAGGCGAGGAGGAGAGTCCAGCAGATGGTGACCCCTCCGCTCCGGCTGGTCGTGGGCACCTACGACAGCAGCAACGCCAGCGACAGCGAGTTCAGCGACTTCGAGACCTGCAGAGACAAGGGCAGCAAAGGGTCCGGGCGCGGCAGGAAGGTTCGCAAGATGCCCGTCAGTTACCTGGGCAGCAAGTTCCTCAGCAGCGACCTGGAGAGCGAGGACGATGAGGAGCTGGTCCAGGCCTTCCTCCGGCGGGGGGAGAAGAAGCCCAGCGTGTCCCCCGCCCGTCGCCGCGTCAACCTGCCAGTGCCTGTGTTTGAGGACAACCTGGGGAGGCCCCAGCTGTCCAAGGCGGACAGGTGGCGAGAGTATGTCAGCCAGGTGTCCTGGGGAAAGCTGAAGCGGAGGGTGAAGGGTTGGGCCCCCAGGTCTGGCCCCGGGGCGGGTGAGGCCCCGCAGGCCTCCGCCACGGTGGAGAGAGACCGGGCATCCGTGCCAGGCAGCCCCAGCCGGGGGGATGACCTGGGAAACGCAGACCATGGGCCCACGCCCGAGAGCTCGTCCAGACGATGGAGACCCAAGATCAACTGGGCCTCCTTCCGGCGCCGCAGGAAGGAGGCGGCGGCATCCACAGGTCAAGGGGCAGATATTGCCACTGACCAGGGGGCAGAGGCTGCAGATAATCAGAGGGAAGAGGCCATAGCTGGCCAGAGGGTAGAGGCTGCAGATAATCAGAAGGAAGAGGGCCTAGCTGACCAAAGGAAAGAGGTCGCAGGCAATCTGAGGGCAGAGGCTGCAGATAATCAGAGGGCAGGGGCCCCAGGTGACCAGAAGTCAGAGGCTGCAGATTATCAGAGGGCAGAGGCCATAGGTGACCTAGGGGCAGAGGGCCTAGCTGGCCAGAGGGAAGAGGTTGCAGGTAATCCGAGGGCAGAGGCTGCAGATAATCAGAGGGCAGAAGTCATAGGTGACCAGAGGGAAGAGGCCCTACCTGTCCAAGGGGCTGAGGCTGCAGGTGATCAGAGGGAGGGGGCCATAGCTGACCAGGGAGCAGAGGCAGCTGATAATCAGAGGGCAGAGACCCTGGCTGACCAAAGGGCAGAAGCTGCACATAATCAGAGAGCAGGGGCCCCGGGTATCCAGGAAGCCGAAGCCTCAGCTGCCTGGGCGGCTACAAGGGCAGCCCCAGGAGCTAGAGCCCGAAAACAGGTAAAGACAGTGAGGTTCCAGACACCTGGACGCTTCTCGTGGTTTCGCAAGCGCCGGAGAGCCTTTTGGCATGCTCCCCGACTTCCAACCCTGCCTAAGAGAGTCCCCAGGGCAGGCGAGGCCAGGAGTCTCAGGGTGCTGAGGGCCGAGGCCAGAGCGGAAGCAGAGCAGGAAGAGCAAGATGACCAGCTGTGAGGCCCTGTGAGACCAGGGCTGGGAAGGGGACAGGCCCTGGAGCACCCCTGCCTGCCTGGCCTGGGCCCTTGGGGGGCTCCCTCCCTCTCCCACGCAAATGGAGTCAAAGAGATGGGCAGGTAGTGTTGCCCACATCTCCACCTAACAACCCTCTTTCTTTTCTTGTTAAAGTTTGATGTCTCATGCGTTGATTTAAAAAAAAAAATACTGACTCTTCATAGCAACCCAAGGGATGTAAAAAAAAAAAAATCAATACAATTTGAGTTGCATCACCCGTGATTTTAACTTCCTCGAATGCAACTCTAGGTACTTAGCTTGAAAAAGGAAAAGGGAGAGAGTTGGCCAGGTGTGGTGACTCACACCTGTAATCCCAGTACCTTAGGAGGACGAGACGGGGGGCATTGCTTGAGCCCAGCCTGGGCAATATAGCGAGACCTACAAAAAATTTAAAGAACTAGCCAGGTGTAGTGGCCTGTGCCTGTAGTCCCAGCTACTCGGGAGGCTGAGGTGGAAGGATCACCTGAGCCCAGGAGGCTGCGGTGGCCGTGAGCCAGCCACTGCACTCCAGCCTGGGCAACAGAGTGAGACTCAGCTCAAAAAAAAAGAGGCAGGGCAGAGGAGAAATTACTTCCTTTTCCAGTCTCCCTTTCGCCTGCACACTAAATGTGGACTGTCTCCTTGAACTTAGAAAGAGAGCTCAATCTAACATGTGAATAAAACATTTATGAACAGATCGCTTGGCTTTGCACTTTGCAGTTGATGAATAATCAGGGATGCCTTGGCCCTTGCTGGCCGTTCCAGGCCAATCCTCCATGATGGGAGTCTCTGGGTGCATGTTGTCACTTTACTTGCAAGCCCCATGTCCCTGGGCTCTGCTGGTATAGAGGGTACAGGACCCACAGTTTGCATACTTTATCCCGATCTTGGTTTACTAGAGATAGAAAAATATCATCTAGGAAACGCATTCAAACTGCAGATTCTGGGGCTGTTGGCCACCAGTCCTGTGGATTTGTTAGAGCTGCGCCTTGGAATCTTTGGATCAAGCCCCACAGACATCTGGGCAACTTGGCCGCTGGACAACAAATGGGGTTGCAGTGCCATCATTGTTACTTATAACTGAGGGGTCGGTGGGCTACCAGGACCCTGTGGAGGCCAGGTGGAAGCTGGGGCATCTCTGTTTTGCTTTGTGACATCCCCCCAGCCTCCAGCTGTGAGAAACAGAAAATGGCCAGGCTCGGTGGCTCAGCCTGTAATCCCAGCACTTTGGGAGGCTGAGGCAAATGGATTGCCTGAGCCCACGGGTTGGAGACCAGCCTGGGCAACTTGGCGAGGCCTTGTCTCTGCAATAAGTCAAATATTAGCCAGGCGTGGTAGCGCACACCTGTAGTTCCGGCTACTTGGAAGGCTGAGGCGAAAGGATCACAAGAGCCCAGCAGGTTGACGCTGGGTAGCCGTGAACGTGCCACTGCACTCCAGTCTAGGCGAGGGAGTGAGACTCCAACTCCAAGAAAAACAGAAAAAAGAAAAACAGCCGATGACCATACAGCAGCCTCACAGATGGCAGGAGAGGGGACTTCGTGGAGGAGGAGTCAGGATCCGGTTCCGTCTTCCTGACTGGCTGCAGGCCTGGCCTACGTCCCCAACTCCCCTTGGAACTAAAGAATCCTGTCTCACCACTCCTCTCTTTCTCCTGTCCCTGCTTTCTGGATGGAGTGGTCACAGACCATGTTGCGCGGTGGTCCCCGCGCCCTCACCAGCGCCCCCTGGTGGTGAAAATGAGGCCGAACCTAAACGGCCATGAACTAACACGGCTCCCAGCCCAGCAAGGAGACCTGGGTGGGGAGGTGGAAGGAAGGCAAGGCGTGGACCCCCCTGCAGGAGTGGACTTTGCAGAAGAGCTTGGCTGGGTGGGAGGTTTCTGGAGCAACTGAGACACATTCTCCACACCAGGAGGGTGGGGAGGAGGCTGTCTTTTCCTGCTGCCCAACTTGGAGGAGAGAGGTCTCAGGACCACGTGGGGGGGGGGGGGGCGGGGGGAGGGCTGGCCTGCCTGGGGGAGCTGAGAAGATTAAAGGGAACAGCGGAGACAGACACTCAGAGAAAATGGAGGCTGGGGGCGGGGGGGAAGGTGTGTTTGCAATACAAGGTGCTTGAAGCCCAGGCGTGTCTCTCCTGCAGAGCCCAGAGCTTGGAGGGTCTTGGGGGGAGCATTGGGGTCAGTGGGAGGGAAAAGGGTGTGGACCCCAAACAGAAGGCAAGATGGATCTAACATCTCTGTGGATTTCACAGACATCAGATACCCCTGACAACACTGGGCCGCCTCCCTCATGGCTACATGTGCATACACACACACACACACACACACACACACACACACACGTACACTCAGACCCAGACACGCAGGCACAGCACACACAGACACATGCATGCCTCAACACAGGCACAACCGGCAGACCCACACTCAAACACATTACAATAAGCCCACACACATATATACAGATACATGGACACACACAAAATGTCCTCGGATACTCACAGGCACACGGACCCACTGTGTTTCTCTAGACACACACCGAAGCAACACCACACAGAATCACACCTACACGGCCATACTTACGAGTGTCAACGCACCCACTCATGGGACGTGTGCACACAGTGCTAGACACTGTTGCACACTTTGATACACTTGGCTACATGTGTACACTCATGTGTGATCACACGGGAACTCAACAGCTAGTCACAGACATCCAAAGACACTTTCTCACACTCTCTCCCTGGATCTTGTAGCCTCTCTGAGCAGCCCTGAGGCTTTGGGCAAGTCTATGCTCCATTGAGTTGGAGTCTGTCGCTCTCTCGGGCAGACACAACCTTCCCTGCACTCCTGCCCCCAGCATGTCCAGTGTGAGCACCCAGGGAGACCCCAGAGATGGGAGGAACCCACGGGGAACCCAGGACACAACGGGGTGTCCAATATTCTATTCAATCCTTGGGGTTTTCAGATGCGGCCTGCAGGGCCAGTCCCCAAAGGCAGCCGGTGGATGCTTCCCGGGTTGTGGGTTCAAATGCACCACGGGAGCCGGGCTCGGTGGCTCAGCCTGTAATCCTGCGCCTTGAGAGGCTGAGGTGAGCGGATTGCCTGAACCCGCAGGTTGGAGACCCGCCTGGGCAACTTGGTGAGACCTTATCTCTACAATAAATCAAAAAATCAGCCAGGCGTGGTAGCACGGGCCTGTAATTCCGGCTACTCGGAAAGCTGAGGCAGAAGATCGCCGGAGCCCAGCAGGGCGAGGCTGCGGTGGCCAGGAGTGGCCACTGCACTCCAGTCTGGGCAACAGAGTGAGACTCCAACTCAAGGAAAAAAAATAAAAAAATAAAAATCAAATGCCCCATGGGTTCCAGGAAGGAAGCCCAGAAAACCAGAGATCCGACTCCAAGTCAGCCTTCACCCGGGCCAGTCCAGCCGCCCTCATTGTCACCAAAGACAAAGAGAACACAGGTGATTCCAAACGCAGACATGGAGGGGAGAGCCGCCACCCGAGGTGCGGACTTTCTGTGTTCCGTTCCCAGCCTCACAGGATGGGACGGGAGGACAGGAGGCCGTTGGGGCCCGGGTGAGGGGGAGTCGGGCGGCCTGGCGCCCCCAGTAGCGCCCCTCGCCCGCTGTGTGGCCTCGGGCTGGTTACTCAACCTCTCGGTGCCTCCTCTTACTCCTCTGGAAGGGGATCCCGGCAGAGCCCTCCCCGCAGCCCTGCTCGGGGGACTGGAGCCCCGGGAGACCACACGGCGCCTCATCCCCGTCACACGTCAGCGCGGCCAGGCCCTCGCCACCTGCGCAGCGGTCCCCAGCCCGGCGCCCCGCGGGCGACCCGCAGCCCGTGCCCGCCCGCACGCTCGCAGCCTGCCCC